TTTAGTAAGGCAATTGATAGAGTTCCGCACCAAAGACTGTTAAAGAAAGTAGCAGCTCATGGCATTGGGGGAAGGGTGCTCTCGTGGATCGAATCATGGCTCACAGACAGGAAGCAGAGAGTGTCCATAAATGGGGTTAAATCCGAGTGGGGTTCAGTAACAAGTGGCGTTCCACAGGGATCAGTCTTGGGCCCGTTGTTGTTTATAATATATATCAATGATCTTGATGAAGGAATTACTAGTGATATGAGCAAATTCGCCCAAAGTCCTAGCCTCAATAACCCAACTAGGTAGACTGTTCCACTCATCTATTTTGGGTTATTTCTATTCTTGGTCAGAAAAGTGGCAGATGCAGTTTAGTGTAGATAAATGCAAGGTTCTTGAAGCTCGGGAGTGTCCATAACCCTAGCACTTATAAGTTAAATAATGTTAGAACAGCCATTACAGATTGCGAAAAGGAATTGGGGGTTATGGTAAGCAGCAACCTTAAACCAAGACAGCAATGCCTGAGCGTACGTAATAAGGCAAATAGATTACTGGGATTTATATCAAGAAGTGTAAGCAACAGAAGTCCAGAGGTCATACTGCAGCTTTATACATCATTAGTAAGGCCTCACCTAGATTATGCAGCTCAATTCTGGTCTTTCCCTATTACAGTATGGATATAAATTCGTTAGAAAAATTCAGCGTAGGTGACTAAATTAATACATAGCATTAGAAATCTTCCTTATGAAGAAAGATTGAAGACTCTTAAGTTACATTCGCTTGTTAGACGAAGAATGAGGGAAGACCTGATCGATGTGTATAAGTGGAAGATGGGCATTAATAAAGGGGATATTAACAAGGTCTTGAGGATATCTCTCCAAGAGAGAACCCGCAGTAATGGATTTAAATTGGATAAGTTTAGATTTAGAAAGGACATAGGAAAGTATTGGTTTGGAAATAGGGTAGTTGATGAGTGGAACAGTCTACCTAGTTGGGTTATTGAGGCTAGTGCTTTGGGTAGTTTCAAATTTAGGTTGGATAAGTACATGAGTGGGAAGGGTTGGATTTTAGTGGGACTTTCATACCAGAGCTTATTTCTTGGGTAGCATTGAAAATTGGGTTGGGCAAATGTTTTGTTAGTGGGATGAATTGTAAAGGACCTGCCTAGTATGGGCCAACAGGCCTGCTGCAGTGTTCCTCCTTTCTTATGTTCTTATGTTCTTATGTGTCTTGATTGACTCCTTAATTAGATGTCGAAACGCTGTTCTTAGGTTTGCAGGACGCCCAAAAGCTGCAGCAGTTATTTGGTTGATGTGCGCCTCAGGAGATGTGACTGGTGTTATACTCACCCCAAGATCTTTTTCCTTGAGTGAGGTTTGCAGCGTTTGACCTCCTAGGTTGTACTCCGTCTACGGTCTTCTTTGTCCTTCCCCAAACTTTAGGACTCTGCACTTGCCGAGGTTAAACTCCAGGAGCCATTTGTCAGACCAGGCTTATATCCTGTCCAAATCTCCTAGCAGGCTTATCTGATCCTTGTCCATTTGTGTTCTACTTATTAGCCTCACATCATCTGCAAACAGGGACACCTCTGAGTCTACCCCTTCTGTCATGTCATTCTCATATACTAGAAACAGCACTGGATCCAGGACTGACCCTTGTGGAACCCTACTCGATACATGCACCCACTCTGACACGTCGTCTCGTACCGACACACGTTGTGCCCTTTCTGTCAGGTATTCCCTGATCCATTGCAGTACTTTCCCTGCTCTTCATGCCTGCTCCTCTAGCTTTTCAACCAGACTCTCGTGAAGTGCTGTATTGAAAGCCTTCATATAGTCCAAGATGCATCCTACACATCCCTCTCTCTCTCCTTGCTTCTGTTACCTTGTCGTAGAACTCCAGTAGGTTTGTGATGAAGATTTACCTATTTGTGTGTGTACGTGTGTACTCACCTAGGTGTGGTTGCAGGGATCGATTCTCAGCTCCTGGCCCCGCCTCTTCACTGGTCGCTACTAGGTCACTCTCCCTTCTCCATGAGCTTTATCATACCTCTTCTTAAAGCTATGTATAGATCCTGCCTCCACTATATCGCTTTCCAGACTGTTCCACTTCCTGACAACTCTGTGACTGAAAAAATACTTCCTAACATCTCTGTGATTCATCTGAATCTTCAACTTCCAATTGTGACCCCTTGTTGCTGTGTCCCATCTCTGGAACATTCTGTCCACCTTGTCGATTTCTCTTAGTATTTTATATGTCGTTATCATATCATCCCTATCTCTCCTGTCCTCCAGTGTTGTCAGGTCGATTTGTGTGTATGTGTGTGTACTCACCTATATGTGGTTGCAGGGGTCGATTCATAGCTCCTGGTGTGTGTGTGTGTGTGCCTGTGTGTGTGTGTGTGTGTGTGTGTGTGTGTGTGTGTGTGTGTGTGTGTGTGTGTGTGTGTGTGTGTGTGTGTGTGTGTGTTTGTGTGTGTGTGTTTGTGTGTGTTGTGTGTTGTGTGTGTGTGTGTGTGTGTGTTTGTGTTTGTGTTTGTGTACTCACCTATTTGTACTCACCTATTTGTGGTTGCAGGGGTCGAGTCTTAGCTCCTGGCCCCGCCTCTTCACCGGTTGCTACTGGGCCCTCTCTCTCCCCGCTCCATGAGCTTTATCAAACCTCGTCTTAAAACTGTGTATGGTTCCTGCCTCCACTACGTCATTTTCTAGGCTATTCCACTGCCTTACAACTCTATGACTGAACAAATACTTCCTAATATCTCTCTGACTCATTTGTGTCTTCAACTACTAATTGTGGCCTCTTGTTTCTGTGTCCCCTCCCTGGAACATCCTGTCTTTGTCCACCTTGTCTATTCCACGCAGTATTTTATATGTCGTTATCATGTCTCCCCTGACCCTCCTGTCCTCCAGTGTCGTCAGGCCGATTTCCCTTAATCTTTCTTCATAGGACATTCCCCTTAGCTCTGGAACTAACCTTGTGGCAAACCTTTGTACTTTCTCTAGTTTCTTGACGTGCTTTATCAAGTGCGGGTTCCAAACGGGTGCTGCATACTCCAGTATGGGCCTGACATACACAGTGTACAGTGTCTTGAACGATTCCTTATTAAGGTATCGGAACTATTCTCAGGTTTGCCAGGCGCCCATATGCTGCAGCAGTTATCTGATTGATGTGTGCTTCCGGAGACATGCTCGGTGTTATACTCACCCCAAGATCTTTCTCCTTGAGTGAGGTTTGCAGTCTTTGGCCACCTAGCCTATACTCTGTCTGTGGTCTTCTGTGCCCTTCCCCTATCTTCATGACTTTGCATTTGGCAGGATTAAATTCGAGAAGCCATTTGCTGGACCAGGTGTCCAGTCTGTCCAGGTCTCTTTGAAGTCCTGCCTGGTCCTCATCAGATTTAATTCTCCTCATTAACTTCACATCATCTGCAAACAGGGACACTTCTGAGTCTAACCCTTCCATCATGTCGTTCACATATACCAAAAATAGCACTGGTCCTAGGACGACCCCTGTGGGACCCCGCTCGTCACAGGTGCCCACTGTGATACATCATTACGTACCATGACTCGTTGTTGCCTCCCTGTCAGGTATTCTCTGATCCATTGCAGTGCCCTTCCTGTTATATGCACCTGATGCTCTAGCTTCTGCACTAATCTATTGTGAGGAACTGTGTCAAAGGCCTTCTTGCAGTCCAAGAAGATGCAATCAACCCACCCCTCTCTCTCGTATCTTACTTCTGTTATTTTATCATAAAACTCCAGAAGGTTTGTGACACAGGATTTGCCTTCCATGAATCCGTGCTGGTTGGCATTTATACTCTTGTTCCGTTCCAGGTGCTCCACCACTCTCCTCCTGATAATCTTCTCCATAACTTTGCATACTATACACGTCAATGACACAGGTCTATAGTTTAGTGCCTCTTTTCTGTCTCCTTTTTTGAAAATGGGAACTACATTTGCCGTCTTCCATACCTCAGGTAGTTGCCCAGTTTCCAGGGACGTGTTGAAGATTGTGGTAAGTGGCACGCAACAACATATCTACTCCCCTCTCTAAGGACCCACGGGGAGATGTTGTCCGTCCCATTGCCTTTGAGGTTCGATGTCCCTTAGCAGTTTCTTCACCTCCTCCTCATCTGTATGTATGTCGTCCAAACACTTGTTGGTGTATTCCTTGCTGGTGTCCCCATCTGACTGTCCCTCAGAGTCCTTCCTGCCCTCTACTGTAAATACTTCCTTAAATCTCGTGTTGAGCTCCTCACATACTCTTGATCGTTTCTTGTGAGTTCTCCACCTTCTTCCTCAGCCTTATCACCTGGTCCTTGACTGTTGTCTTCCTCCTAATGTGCTATACAGTAGTTTCGGGTCAGATTTGACTTTCGATGCTATGTCGTTTCTTACTGCCCGCTGGGCCTCCCTCCTTATTTTGTGCATACTCGTTTCTGGCTCTTCTACTAATCTCCTTGTTTTCCTGGGTCCTATGCCTCCTGTCCCTTTTCCATTCTCTGTTGCACTTAGTTTTTTGCCTCCCTACACCTTCGGGTAAACCAAGGACTCGTTTTGGTCTTCCTATTATTTCTGTTTCCCTTGGGAACAAACCTTTCCCTCTGCCTCCTTGCACTTGTTGCCACATATTCCATCATCTCGTTTACTGATTTCCTACCATTTCTCTGTCCCACTGAACCTCCTGCAGGAAGTTTCTCATACCTGTGTAGTCCCCCTTTTATAGTTCGGCCTGTCCCCTTCAGTTCCTGTTACCTTCTCCACTTGTAACTCTACTATATAATCAAAACTCAGTGCGTATGTGTGTGTGTGTGCGTATGTGTGCGTATGTGTGTGTGTGTGTGTGTGTGTGTGTGTGTGTGTGTGTGTGTGTGCGTGTGTGTGTGTGTGTGTGTGTGTGCGTATGTGTGTGCGTGCGCGCGCGCGTGTCACATACTGCCAGGCATGCTTCACGGGCATCTTGAGATGGGTGAAAATGACGGGAATCTAATTCTTGTTCGTTTTCCTCCACAGCCAGCACAGGCGAGTCGCTGATGATTAGGACGTGTGTGCTGGAGAACATGGACTCCCAGTGTGGCGTGTTCAAGTTCGGCGGTGAACAACTAACCGGCTGCATCCTGACGTGCACCTATGATGGCTGCAACCACAGCCCGCGTCCCGTCTCTCCTCTCTCTCTAACGATCCTGGTCCTCCTCCTCCTTCCCTCGTCTCTGGCCGCTCTAACCCACCAGTTGCTTTGATAGTCCACACCCTGCGTTGATCGATCACTTGTTGATCGTCTATCGTGTTGATCGTCTGTTGATACTTTGCCTGCTGCATTGCTTGTCTATCTGCGGCGTTGATTGTTGATTGTCGTCTACCTGTGGCGTTGATTTTCCATCCGTCATTTTCCTAGAGTTCATTGCCTGTCTACTTCTGCTTTCATAATTTGTATATATGGTCATCCATCTATCTTTGAGCTAATCAACCATCTATCGTTGAGCAAGCCACTTATTTATCGATTATTTAGCCGTCAGTCTAGCGCTGGGCTAGTCATCCAAACAGCCACCTAATTACTGCTGGTTTAGTCACCCATCTATCACTGGGTCAGTCATCCATCTACTTGTAAATGTTGAATCTGTACTTGTTACATCTCTGCCTTACGTACTAGAACCACCACCAGAGGTCAGGCAAGACACTCACACTGGTACCATCTCACTAAGCTTCACGCCTACACTCTCTCCCTTACAAAACAATGTTTCTCAAAGCATTCCCATATGCTTATTATTCCAAAGTTTTTCTATATAATTTATGCACTTTGTTCTGCCACATACTATTTCGTTCACTTAATCGTTAAATCTATGCCAAGTAAGTAATCATATTAAGCCAGATTAATGCCAGTAGTGGGACGAGAGAGATCGTGGGAGTTTACCTGGAGAGAGTTCCGGGGGTCAACGCCCCCACGGCCCGGTCTGTGACCAGGCCTCCTGGTGGATCAGAGCCTGATCAACCAGGCTTTTACTGCTGGCTGCACGCAATCCAACGTACGAGCCACAGCCCGGCTGGTCAGGTAAAGCTAACACAGGTCCCACCGAGGGATGACAGTGTTTCTTGACAACTTTATAAATACATGTGTTTCACATGCACAGTATCCTATGATGACTTGTAATATGCAATAGTAATTTGCACTTGCAATAAAAAGGGGCTTGCTAAATTTTTCTCAAGTATGTAATTTTTTTTTCAGGAATCGCTACTGTTTTAGTTTCTTGTAAAATAAATTTTGAACACCAAGAAAGCTGAATTTATAAGTGAATTAAAGAAAGATAGTAACATCATCTGTTGACAATAAATTAAGTGTTACTTCTCTAACAAGTTCAAATGTAATCTTCACAAACGCTGGGTCAGTCAATCATCTCATATTTGGCAAAACACTCATATGTCGCTGGGCCAATTATCCATCTATCGCTGGGTAAACCATTCATCTATTTCTGAGCCAGCCACACATTTTTATTTACGAAGTTCTTCAGCAAATGAAAAAAATATGTACGGTATGCTGCAAACCAATGAGAAACAAGAAAGAAAACACATCTACAGTGATAACAATGGAGGCAGACATGGAAACGCAACAAGTATGCAATAGATACAATAGGAAACAGATGAGGAGTACATTGGTCTTCAGCATAACTCAAAACTTCATGTCTCTCAGCACTCTAACTTGGTCACAATATAAGCTTTTCTGGCTGTGAATTAAAGTAATTAGGTTATTTGTTAAAATTACCATGTAAATTTAATGGTAATCTTTAGTGATAACGACACCTATATGGCCGTCAGTATGTGACAACAACCACACTGAACCTGTCTCGCCACTGAACCTGTCTCGCCACTGAACCTGTCTCGTCACTGAACCTGTCTCGCCACTGAACCTGTCTCGCCACTGAACCTGTCTCGCCACTGAACCTGTCTCGCCACTGAACCTGTCTCGTCACTGAACCTGTCTCGCCACTGAACCTGTCTCGCCACTGAACCTGTCTCGTCACTGACCTGTCTCGCCACTGAACCTGTCTCGCCACTGACCTGTTCTCGTCACTGAACCTGTCTCGCCACTGAACCTGTCTCGCCACTGAACCTGTCTCGCCACTGAACCTGTCTCGCCACTGAACCTGTCTCGCCTCTCCCTTCCTCCTCTCTACACAACTTACCCTCAGTCCCGTCCCCTCTCCATTCTTGCCATCCCTATTATGGATAGTTTAAAAAAATAGGAAGACTAAGAACGATATTAAAGTTTTGCTGTATATATTTGTGAGGTTGTTTGCTGATGTGTCTGCATTCTTGTACATTGTAACTTATATATTGTGGAAGACTAAAAATGTTCCTGTCATTGTAGAAAAAATAATTTTATTCATAACGATTGTATTTTATTATTATTATTATTATTATTATTATTATTATTATTATTATTATTATTATTATTATTATTATTATTATTATTATCAGAGGGAAGCGATAATCCCATATGGGGTCATAGAATTAATGGGGAAAAGGAAGTAATCAGGTTCAGTCAGAGTAAGGGGAGGATAGGTCCACTTCCTCGGATCAAGAGCCCCTCACCGGCATTAAGGTCCATCCTTTGAGGGGAATAATAAATTACTCAACAGACATATCACTTTATATTTGTGAAGTATAAAAGGGGAACCCTTTTTAAAATGCTGTCAAGAAATTGCTTTAGTTAATGTATGATGTGACGTTAATGTCCACTTGTTATAATAACTCAATTTACGTCATTCCGATCATATTTTCATCTTTTTTTTTTACATCTTTGGAATTACTACTGTAAACAAATCATTAGGTGATGTTTGTTATGATACAATTGAATCATTGTTTGCCAATGAAAGTTATTTCCTTAATTGCAATAACTTTTGCTGCTAATAACTGCAACAATATTTATCTGGTCTTTCTCCGTAATTGATAATAACTGAAGATATTACTGAAGAACATTAACCTCATTTTTCATTTTCATTTTAGCATTTTTGTGTAATTAAACTATAATATAAATAGTCCTACTGGCTTTCACCGCATCAGTTATAATTATAACTGTCCTGTGAATTTTAGGACTCGATAGTCATGGTTACCATAGTTCTTGCTGTAACCTGTTAAGACATGACACAGATCATATTACCAACATAATGTGCTCTGATTTTTTAATTTATTTAAAAATCATAAATTTAACTGAGTATCAGAACATTAACATAAAATAAATCATCAAGACTAACAGAAATGACAAATAAATTATTTTAATCCTAGTAAATTTTAGCGCCATGAATGCTAGCTTGTAACATAGCAAAACAATGTTAATGGTCAAACATATATGAATTTTATATTAGAGTATAGAAATGTATAATTTTTCCATTTTTCTCTTTATTTACATGTTTTGTCAGCATGGTTGTTTTTCTTAGTGAATAGTGTGAGTGGGGATATAATTTTTATATTATCCTTTGAAGCAATTGATTCATAAGACTACACAAACATTTAATGCATAGGCCTGCATAAGCATTTGCTGAAAGGTCTATACAAACATTTGATTCATAGACCTACACAAGCAGGAATCATAAAACAAAAGATTACGACCATATACCACAGGCTGCTGTAATTACACGTTCCAGCAACCATCAAGTTGGTTTGCTAATTAATAAAACATCTATGTATTAATGTTATCCAGATGTTTCCTGGAGTAAACTGTTTTAGTCATTATGAGTATTGTGTAAATATTACGTTATGTCGGTTATTGTATCAAACTCTTATGTGATTTATATAAAATAAGAAAATCTTTTTTCGTTTTATTTAAAACCATGTTCATTTGTAATATATATATATAATATATATATATATATATATATATTATATATATATATATATATATATTATATATATATATATATTATATATTATATATATATATATATATATATATATATATATATATATATATATATATATATATATATATATATATATATATATATATATATATATATATATATTATATATGAGAGAGAGCGTGTGTGTGTACTCGCCTGAATGTGGTTGATGGAGCTACCCTTTCCTTGGATATAACATGATTAATTTCCATTCCCCAGGGGCTGTATGGCACTATTTGTGGGAAATTACCTGCAGGAGGTTTACTGAATATTACCTGAATTATTTCCTGTAAGTAATTTCCCACATAATTAATTTAAGACTTTGGTCCTTAGTTAGTTTAATATGTTTATTATGCACCCCATACCCATCCTGTGGGCGGTAGTCAAAAGATTACAGAGGCAGCTACGGTGAAAAACTCTGTTCCACAAGGCACAGTACTCGCTCCCATCTTGTTCCTCATCCTCATATCTGACATAGACAAGGATGTCAGCCACAGCACCGTGTCTTCCTTTGCAGATGACACCCGAATCTGCATGACAGTGTCTTCCATTGCAGACACTGCAAGGCTCCAGGCGGACATCAACCAAATCTTTCAGTGGGCTGCAGAAAACAATATGAAGTTCAACGATGAGAAATTTCAATTACTCAGATATGGTAAACATGAGGAAATTAAATCTTCATCAGAGTACAAAACAAATTCTGGCCACAAAATAGAGCGAAACACCAACGTCAAAGACCTGGGAGTGATCATGTCGGAGGATCTCACCTTCAAGGACCATAACATTGTATCAATCGCATCTGCTAGAAAAATGACAGGATGGATAATGAGAACCTTCAAAACTAGGGATGCCAAGCCCATGATGACACTCTTCAGGTCACTTGTTCTATCTAGGCTGGAATATTGCTGCACACTAACAGCACCTTTCAAGGCAGGTGAAATTGCTGACTTAGAAAATGTACAGAGAACCTTCACGGCGCGCATAACGGAGATAAAACACCTCAATTACTGGGAGAGCTTGAGGTTCCTAAACCTGTATTCCCTGGAACGCAGGCGGGAGAGATACATGATTATATACACCTGGAAAATCCTAGAGGGACTAGTACCGAACTTGCACACGAAAATCACTCACTACGAAAGCAAAAGACTTGGCAGACGATGCAACATCCCCCAATGAAAAGCAGGGGTGTCACTAGCACATTAAGAGACCATACAATAAGTGTCAGGGGCCCGAGACTGTTCAACTGCCTCCCAGTATACATAAGGGGGATTACCAACAGACCCCTGGCAGTCTTCAAGCTGGCACTGGACAAGCACCTAAAGTCGGTTCCTGACCAGCCGGGCTGTGGCTCGTACATTGGTTTGCGTGCAGCCAGCAGTAACAGCCTGGTTGATCAGGCTCTGATCCACCAGGAGGCCTGGTCACAGACCGGGCCGCGGGGGCGTTGACCCCCGGAACTCTCTCCAGGTAAACTCCAGGTACATAATTGGTCCAGGGACTGGACTCCAAAGTTTTGATAGCTGAGCAAGTTACAAAGGTAATGAACTAGATCTGGTCATAATCATGACCAAGTTACAAAGGTAATGAGCTCCAGGTTGAGCTGGTCACACTCATGAATAATTGCAAAGGTAATGAATCATAAACACATTAATCATGAGAATTTTCAAAGGTAATGAGCTCCAGGTAGAGCTGGTCACAATCATGACAAGTTTCAAAGGTAATGAATGATAAACATGTTATGACATGATTACAATCATAGACAAATTACAGAGTAATGAGCAGTTAACAAACATAGTAGGGAATTCATCCATTGCCCCAACAACAGATGTTGCTAGGTGCCTGTCTCTCCTCGGCAGACAGCCATTGCAAACAGCAGCAAGTTTCCCAGGGATCTGCTGCTTGCATGAGCACCATCGACCCTCCCCAAGAGGTCCAAGAAGCCAGTGACTCCATTAGCAGCCCGATGGAGAGCTGTCCTAGGGACATGTCAGCGTCCTGGTGGACGCCAAGTTGATTGAAGATCCCAGGCCCTTGTGTGCACGGATGTTGAAGCTTGAGGAACTGAGTACACACTGCCTGTGGCAACCTCAACTAGGTGAGTACCTGGCAGCTGCCTCGTGGTCGAACTCCACGATGCTGTCCCTGTAGTGGAAGTTCCTGTGAGCCCGGCACTCCCTGCAGTGCCATCGCTGACATTGTGGGTTGGGGAGAAGTACCCTCTACAGATGGGGTGGCGCTGGGAGTTGGGTGGGTGAGGCGGGGGAGACACGCAGGGGTGAGGTGTTATGAGAGGGTCACTGTTTACTACACACGCCCTCCCCCTCCCCCCAGCAGAGAGGGGGGGAGGCGCTGACTGGTCCTGACTCTACAACACCAAACCCTCTAAAACTGCACAACACTTCAACTATTTATGCTGAAACGATGCACTGGGATGTCCGTTCGCTGCTCTGGTATCTTCTCAAAGCATTCACACTGAGTTCTGTTAAGTAGGGACCTGGTCAGCCTCTTTGACCAGGAGCTATCCTTGAAAATCCCGCAGCTAGCCCGCTACACAACCTGCCGCGTCGGCCATGCCAACAGCTGACGCGGTAGCGATTGTGATTGCTTTGGTCCTTCGAACCATATTGTAAGGGGATGTCCACACTATCCCAATTCTTCAGCAGGAACATGTCAGCAATTTCTAAATTATGGATTGAGGCCAATATACACTAACTGATCTTCGAGAATGCTTGATTACATTGCACAATTCAGTCCAATGTTCACATATTAATTATGGTGTCTCTGCGGCATCACTCCCCCGGCTGTTCTACACTCCCCTTCACTTAAAAGTTATCGAAGCGTCCAAATAGCATCACATTTTATTACACAGTAATTATATTATTCATTTTTACATATGCTGCATTTAGGAAAATTCAAAATTTTCCACACTACTTGTCAAACACATAATACATGATAAATCCCAAGAGCTTGAAGGATTATCTTAACAATCACTGGCTGCTCTAGCCACCAACATTCAGAGGAAGTTCATGGTTTATCTTACACTTGGCTCAAATAGTAGTTTCAGGTCACAACTGAA